TTTTTAGGCTATTTCTTACAATGTTATGTTCATTCTGACCTCTTTTAGCCAACAGTCCTCTATTAAGTCTCATTTAAAAATTAAAATATTCTGGGTCCCTATCCTTTATCTTCTATAGCTTAGGTAATTCTATAATTTCTTTAGCCCAGCTGGTATGGTTCAGTGGTTGAGCATCCATCTATGAACCAGGAGGTCATAGTTCGATTCCCGGTCAGGGCACATGCCCTGGTTGCAGGGTCCATCTCCAGTGTGGGTGGGGCGTGCAGGAGGCAGTCGATCAATGATTCTCTCTATCCCTCTCTTTCTCCCTTCCTCTCTGAAGTCAATAAAAACATTTTAAAAAATTTCTTTACGTCATGCCAGACCTTCACGTGCACAGCTGGTTCTTCCCAGGTGTCTATTTCTCTGAAGAGTGTGTATGTTATGGACCAGCGGTCGCCAACCTTTTGGACCTTACGGACGGACCACCAGTTGGCGACTGCTGTTGTAGACTTTGCAATTTTAGTACCTTACATCACACCTAGGACACTAATTTTGAATATATGTTAAGGAATTTCTAGCCTGTACTTCAAAAAAGACATATTTAGCCCAAGCTGGCATGGCTCAGTGGATAGAGCATCGGCCTGTGGACTGAAGAGTCCAGGTTCAATTCTGGTCAAGGGCACATGTCCTGACTGTGGGCTCGATCCCCAGTGGGAGGTGTGCAGGGCGCAGCAGAGCAATGATTCTCTTTCATCATTGATGTTTCTATCTCTCCCTTCCTCTCTGGAATCAATAAAAATATATATTTTTTAAAAACAGGCTATTTTGAAGCTTAAGAATATTAATGATGTAAGTAGTAGTTCCTTCCACTGTCAAATGTGTTTCCCAACCAAACCCTTCAGGGGTAGTAAATCCCTGTCCCACTGTGCAACGACCTCCACGCCTCCAACTGCCCCTCCCCTCCCAGCAACTTTATTTTCCATTCAACCCCGAAAGACAGAGGCACGTGGAAAATTGTAAAGCTTGCAAGAATTCAGTGATTTCCTCTAGGGTAAGATAATTTACAGAAATGTGGTTTTCCATTGGCCAGTCTTATGCTTGACAATGTAACAGAAATCTTTAGAGTAAATTTTTATAAATTTCTAGCAAACTTGCCTAAATAACTTTAAAACTTCCAAAACCGTTAAAAATAATTTCCCTAGTTAGCTTCTTATGAAAATATAAAAAGCTGAACAAAGGAAACAGCCTCATAGTTCATGTAGTCTATTAAAACAACGTGGCGTAGCTCTAAGAACAAATCTCAGACTGGTACCGGCCGCCCAGCCAAGAGGACTTCACGGGCGGGAAGGCTCGGGGCCCCAGCCACCGGTCACGGGAATATGGCTCTCTGCACACGCGCGCTTTCCGGCTTGTGGAAGACGTCCTCGTCCGTTTCTGGAGTGAGTTGGATATTATCCTTGACTGGAGACAGGGGATCTGGCTTCTTACAGGAAGGGAGCTTTTCAGAATCTCTGCAAAACAGAACGGAATGCCATGAATTTGGTGTCTTTATTTTTTAAATGTATTTCTTTACTGGTTTCAGATAGGAAGGGAGGAGAGAAACATCAATGATGAGATTCACTGATTGGCTGCACGCCCCCTACTGGAGATCGAGCCCACAACCCAGGCATGTGCCCTTGGCCAGAATCGAACCTGGGACCCTTCAGTCCGCAGGCTGACTCTTTTATCCACTGAGCCAAGCTGGCCAGGGCGAATTTGGTGTCTTTAAAGGGCAGTGATTCCTAGAGAAGGCTCTCCCTGGATAAAGTGACGGCATATAAAGAGGACAAGACCCTTTAGTGTGGAATATGCCTCAGTTCATCATATGCACATCCAAGTTCTCCGAGAGCCTCCAATAACATCTGCTTCAATGCCTATAGGGGTGGGTACATCCAATAAAACCTGCTTCAATGCCCGTAGGGGTGGGTACATCCAATAACATCTGCTTCAATGCCTGAATACACACGTGCTAAGGAGCCAAGCTGGCCAGGGCGAATTTGGTGTCTTTAAAGGGCAGTGATTCCTAGAGAAGGCTCTCCCTGGATAAAGTGACGGCATATAAAGAGGACAAGACCCTTTAGTGTGGAATATGCCTCAGTTCATCATATGCACATCCAAGTTCTCTGAGAGCCTCCAATAACATCTGCTTCAATGCCCGTAGGGGTGGGTATACCCAATAAAACCTGCTTCAATGCCCATGGGGGGGGTACATCCAATAACACCTTCAATGCCTGAATACACACGCGCTAAGCCAGAATGATTCCAACAGAGAAACGAGTTCTTTTCTACTTGGCACCTCAAGTCTTGCTAAGAACCAATGTAAGTGAGGCATGAGCAAATGTTTTAGCCCTACTCTTACCCCTCCAGGCACATCATCTTCACATGATCAATTCGCGCTGTCATGCACAAGCGCAAATGCTCTCAGAGAGCATCACGGGCCAGTGGAATGCCTGATACCAGGTGCGGGAAGTTCACTGTCAGGGTTTCCTGCTCGACATCACAATAACTAAACACCTACTGCCTGTTGACTTTTAATGTCATGTCAAAAAAGATTTACAGTGAAATAAAAAGGCTATCAAAATACAAATGTTCAAACTGCAAATATGGTGGGGCCAGGTTTTCTCCATATACTTCAACCAAAACAACATACAACAGATCGAACACAGGACAGATACAGGAACCCAGCTAATTTTTTAAACTAGGCAATAAAGATTTGCAAACGTGTATTCTCACTTTTTTTTGTAAAACTATGCTATTGGTTTTAAATACTTTAAAACTATCTTTTAAGTGTCTATTTTAATTTCTAAATGGTTAAATGTTGACAGGTGTAAGTCAAAGTAATTTGGGGCCCTCAACTTTTAAAAGTATAAAGGGTTTCTGAGGACAGGTGTTTGAGAACTCATGCTGTATGGTTTAATCCTAGACGTTACACAATGTAACATAATGAACCACTGCCCAGCACTTATTTACAAAGTGCCCTGTTTGCCCATTTCATCTGGTTGTGACAACATCTCTATTAGGTAAGGTTTAATCCTATCGCACCCAGGTAATCTTTGTTTTTCATTGATTTTTAGCACATTTGCTTTAAGAACAAGAAAATAAATGAAGAGCGAACCAAGATGGCTACGTAGGTAAACGCGTGTACTCACAGCCTCCTGTAACCACAGCAACATGACAACTAAAATACAGAGCAACCATCATGCAGAACTGCCCGAAAGCTGGCTGCACAGAAGTCCTACAACCAGAGGGTAAAAGAAAGCACCGAGACCGGTAGGAGGGGTAGGAGGGGCGGAACGGGCTGGTCCCACAGCCCCGTGTGCCGTTGTGTTTTTTTAATTTGGAGGGAGATGTCCTAAGGAGGCTGCCAGTGAGGCGCAAGGGGTCCCAGCCTAGGGTTCCAGGGCTGGGAAGAGAAGTCCACGCAACTACAGGCTGTGAAAAGCGGGGGGACTGTGGCTAAGTGACAAGGAGACTAAGGGGACACTGGGATTCCAGCAAAGGGCTCATGCACACACGTACAGGGTCCCACTTCTTCCAAGCTCCAGCGCTGGGGAACCAGGCACATGGGGAGGAACTGGGTTGTCTGGCATGGTGGCAGGAACTCGGGGCGGCTTTTTCCCAGACGGGTGCTCACAACCAGGCCGTGGCCCTGGAGCCAGTGCACCCAGTGGACAGCTTTGACCACAGGAGATTATAACTCTCCACACCCACATGCGACACACCCGAGGCAGACTCAGCACCACAGCCCCACCAGCAAGTCCTGCTGCTATAGGGGTGTCGCCTGCACAGCAGCCCTCCCCACAGCCTGGCCTGGGGGTCAGCTCCTCCCAGTGACACCAACAGCCATCAAGGCTCACCTACAAGTTGGGGCGCACCGAGAGTGCCCCCCAGCTCAGGCGCCTGG